GACCATTGGTCCAGTCCAAGCTTCTTCCATTGGTGGAGCCCTTCCACCATCCGATTGGAGAGATGTCTCTGGGGDGAGCAGTGTCTCCAGGTGCCCATGGAGGTGTTGCCAGGCGAAATCCYCCCAGAGACAAGGCTTCACCCATCTCCTTTTTGCCTCCTGCAGGCTGCATGTGTGCACCCCTTCCCCTACATGCCTCTGACAAGCAGTGTTGAGGCAAACCAAGATTAGAATGGCTCCTCACACTATGCAAAGTATCTTAACCTTTATTCAGTAGAATGTTTCCTCTTAGGTGTTTACTGCCAGTGTCTTTCCTATTTAATTCACGTTAGTCCCACTACACATGCCCCATCTCAGTCGTCCTAGCTAACCTTGCCTACCCTTTCTCTAGCTCACATTAGTTTTTGCCTTAAAACATGTGTGATCAGAATCGTACACAGTATTGCAAAATGGAGTTCTTAATGCTTTGTATAATGGGATCACTGTTTTCTTTCTAAATGCCCCTCACCATCACACAGACACAGTTTGCTCTTTTATCTTCTAATTTACAAGGGCATTATTGGAATACAAAAAGTATAATTAATACTCATGGAAAGCATAGTGTTATACTCTACCCAAAACTCTTCTATTGGCTGTATCATGTAATTCACCAACTGAAATATTGAGGTGGGTGATTGTTTCCAGACATAAGAAGGAACTGAAGCAATGACCACTTCCATTTCTGGATTGCTTGTTACTCTATTAAAGGATTAAATGAGACCAATGTATTACATCTAAGAAACAGGTAAGAAAACAGCTCTGCCCTGTTCACTTAGCATAAAATCAAACTCTGGGTATTRCATGCATCCTAATTAGTTGCCTTGCATCAGTGCTCCAAACTGTGTACAGTTCAGGTGTATGTTTCTCAGTGCTGGCTAACTATAATGCCATTTTAGGTGAATTCTGTCACTTACAAGCAATTTCGTGAACCACGAAATTGAAACAGTTCTGTTTCAGTTTAACAGTTCTGTTATTCAGTGACTTAGATATGTAATAAGAGGTTTTCCTATTAAGCAAAACTAGCAAAAATCAAAGTAAATACTTAGCTGAAAGGTATGASTCTTAGCAGCTAAAATGGACCGAGAACCAGTCTGGAGGGGTGGGAAATAGAAATGTGTCATACACAGAAACAAATTATATTTAAGTTGGGGATTGCTGACGGCTGATTGCAGTAATGCACTGTAGTCATTTCATCAGTCCACTTAGAAAAGATATAGACTTGCTTGTGTATTTACAACAGAAAGAATTAATATAATCATTAACAAAATAATGGTAAGAAAGTATTTATTGCATGACAAACCATTTTACAGTGGCCCCTGCACTCTCATCAGGAGCTAGATGCCTTCTAAAATTTAAAATTCTACTAAATAAATTATTTCTTTCTTCATTATTCTTTGTGACAGATGGGCAGGACCTCTGTTAACTATTCCTACAACTTCTTTGCTGACAGCTGAATAGAATAATYTTCAGGGTACATAAGACTGCTTTCAGGAAGCAAATCTCCACTTTTGAATACAAAAATTAGCTTTTTATAAAGGTGCAGTAGCAAAGGAATTTGCTACTGATATTTCCCATTTAAAAATTGCTGTGTAACATTACTTCTTCCTTCACTTCAGAAAAYGGGTATCTGTCCTAAGAGAAGTTGCATGTAGCTAATACTTCAAACTCTAAGCAGCAGGATTGCCATGGGCAGTAGCATCCTCATGCATCGTTACCCTTCTCAGCAAGAAGAGCCATCTCCATTTAAAAAAATGTATGTACCAAATAAGGAAGACCTTTAAAGCTCTCAAGCTGATTTCTTTTAAGAACGGATAAGTCAWTTCATAATTTCAGGCATTGAAATACAATCTCTCAGTATTGTGCCTGTAATTAAATCAAAAGAAATTAAAGGTATCTTACTACATTTTTTTTGTACAATGAGTATATCTAAAGGAGACAAAGAAGAGCTGTGCTTTAAAAGAACCCTGACAGGAAAAAAAATAAGCCAATTAGTGATTTCTTCAAAAGTTATATACTAAAATTAATTGCTAATATCTTAGTGACCACGGCTGGAAAAGAATCAAAATTGGTTACAGATTCTAGAAAAATTAAAAATATTTATTCCTTGGTTTTGTATGTATTGTTGGGGACTATAATTTCAGTCACTACTTGTTCAGTCATTTAATCAGTCGAACTGAAAAATCACAGTATTACCAGATCTCAGTAGCCATACAGAATTACACCCATCTCTGCTGTTTAATACTGACAACTCTTTTTAGCCAAAAAGTATGACTTTTGGTGCTACACCTATAAATAAGATTAGTTTATTTGTGTCAGCCTACTAGTGTAGGCACCTCTCCATTCTAAGAGTACTATAGCATGAATTCGGATCAGCTGCAGAGATCTGAAACATTTTTGCGGATAAATTCAATGTAACTGAGCTTCTAAACACAACTCTTATGAAAGCAAGTGGCAAGAAGGGCCAGGAAATTTTCATTTCCCGCAATAAGTTACCATAATTTTTTCACATTTATAATACGCTTTTGATTTGCAAGTATTTTCTGCTGTCTGCAGGAGAGAAAGGCAATGTCTATTAAATGTAACTTTTGTTCATGACAGTACCTTCATAACTGAAGCTCAGAGACAAGGCTAATTTTTAAAATTGGTCCAATAATTACAGGAAAGTAGGTTTAAACAAGTAAGTTTTCTTGCTGCRGCTGCTTCCAAGTGAGTAAGCTTCTCTGGCTAGTTCTGACTTCCAAATGGCTGTTCATCAATATAAAGATTAACTAGATAAAATACTGTGAGTTTTCTGTAAAAGCAAACATTGTTAACTGACAGACCTAGAAATGGATCTGAAATGAGAGACAACTGTCATGTGAAATGTGGTAAAAACACTCAAAACATTTGACATTTTCTTCATTGGGATAGTATTGTCATATGGGCAGGGTGAGCATTTAAAATTTTTTTTCTTCTACACAAAAGAAAGCAGGTCTGTCCTCTAGTTTGTTACATAACATTCAATTTGTTTCTACTCTAATTGGTGACTTCCAGTGTACCCCTTTAGATGATCGAAGTTTTCTGTAAAGGGATTGTAACCTTGCTCTCTTAAACAGCGCAAAGCCCAGAAGAGTTGATCTGCTGGAGGAAATTCATCCCATTTGACCCATTCCCACCCTGTAGGGGGAAGAAAAAAAAGAAGGAAAAAACCCATCAGAGTACAGAATTAAGACAGGACCCACGGAAGCAGCATGAAGCTGTGTCAGGGGAGGTTTAGGCTAGATGTTAGGCAAAGAGGGTGGCTGGGCACTGCAAGAGGCTCCACAGGGCACCCTAACAGAGCTCAAGAAGTGTTTGGACAACCTCTCAGGCACCAGGTGGGATTGCTGGGCCAGGAATGGGATTCAGATGATGCTTGGGTATCCGTTCCAACTCAGGATATTCTGTGTTTCTGTGATACAACTATTCTCCTTCTGCAAGTCTGGATGGATCCTGCAGAAACTACTAATACAAAGATATATTTTGCCTGAGCAGCTTTTCTGTTTCTCAAAGAAGCTGTGGATGCCCTATCCCTGGAAGTGTTCGAGGCCAGACTGGATGGAGCTCTGAGCCAACCGATTTTAGTGGGGGGTGTCCCTGCCCGTGGCAGGGTGCTTGGAACCAGATGATTACTCACTTTCGTTCTTGTCGGGCTCCTGGTTGCGCGGCTCGGCGYCCGGCTCGGCCTCGCCCTTCATGAGCACGGTGACATAGTGGTAGCGCTGGGACGCGCACACCGCGTTCACGGCCGACGCGAAGCGCACGTGGCGCAGCCGCAGCGCCGCTTCCTCCAGCGTCTCCCGCGCCGCGCACTCCGCCAGGCTTTCCCTGTGGGCGGGCAAGGCAAGGGAAAGGAAGGCGAGATCGCCTCAGGGCACGGCGGGGCAAGGGAAGGGCAGAGTGGGGAGGGAGGGCGCGGGGCTCCTACCCGAACTCCAGGTGGCCTCCGGGAAGCTGGTAGGTGCCGGCGCCCAGCGTGCCTTTCCGCTTGCCCAGGAGGACGCAGTTGGGGTGCGCGGCGCTGGTGACCACCACCCCCACGCCGACCCCTGGCCGCCGGGGCTGCGCCGCCTCCTCGCCCATGGCAGCCCCCGGCGCTCGGCGAGGCTCCGTTCCGAGCCTGGGCGGGGACGGATCCGCCAATGAGGTTTTGGGAGGGACGCCCTTTCCCGGGGGAGGTGTGTCGGGGACGCGCCAGATGCGTGTGGTGATGACGTTGGCGGTGAGGAAGGTGGCGAGGTTCCCAGCCAGGCTCGGTAGGGAGGGTGCTCTGTCTTGCTGTTTGCCTGGGGTTCCTTGGCTTCAGTGCCCAGGGGACTTGTGAGGTGACCGGGAACTGAAAAGGTGTTTGTGCAAATAGAACCCTGAGAACTGTTACTGAAAACAAGATACAACACGGTTTTTGAAGGTCAGGGAGCCAGTCGGTCTCTGGCTGCAGATTTATTCAGAACTTTAAAAGTGGCCCTTTGGTTAGCCCACAGTTTCTGCTCTGTGAATAGCCTGATTTTTGCAGTGTCACGTTGAAATGATTTAAAAAGGAAGCTGTAAACTTAGCTGAGCAGAGCTCCAGAGGTGGAATAACAGTTCCTGACTGATAAAGAAGAAATAAAAGTTTCTGCTATTTTCCTTAATTTTCATTTTTTTTTTTGTAAAGTACAGAGATATGTAGAATACAGGATACGAGCTTTGATTTTCTTTATAAACAGTTTGTATATCTGTAAACAGTATATGTGAAGTTTGTCAGATTTTTCCATTCTTCAGCCCATTGATCACAATAGAGAAAGAAGATTTTTATTTGCAGACCTTTCTAATAATTTAGTTTTGGTTTTGGTTGGCTGTTTTTTTGTGTTTTTTGGGTAAGGTTTTAAAATACCTATGTACAGATGTTTGTATTTATATATGAAGGTCACAGGGCCAAACTAGGTGAAGTTTRTTCACATTTTCTGGGATCAGTTTTCTGAGGTTTAATTGCCTGAACTGACTCATTGTAGCATCAGATGGGTCCCAGTGATGGCATGAAGGGCATATTAGGAGTAAGTGGCTGGGCATGGTAGAAGGAAGGCTGCCCTTTGGCAGTGTTTGGCTCTGCTGCCTAGCTGTGATGTCAGCCCACAACCTGAATTAGTGCCATTGGTAAATAATAACAATAATAAATAAATAATATTGGACAAATTGCCAAAYTAACAAGCTCTTTGTAAACCAAGCTCATTCATTTGTATGTCTCCCCAGTACAGTTGGAATATCCTAATCTCCCGGTGAAACATCTGCCAGTTACATCACTTCCATATTTGCATTTTAAAGAAGACAGTTATTTTACAGGAGCCATATCAAAGATTCCTCCTCCCCCAGGAAGCTCTTTCTGGTCCAATATATTAAAACACCACTAAGTTTTTTATCTTAACAATGAAAACATTCTACTTTCTGTGTACACCATTTTCCTGTACCTTTTACCAAGGATGTTTAGTAACAAGTCTTGAGGGTAACCCATTGTCATTCTACTGATCTGTTTTTAAGTTAATGTTCATATGGTCATTATGCTTGTTTTCCATGTTAGCAGGATACAATTCAATGAAAATATTCTATAAAGATGGTTATGTAAATTATAAAAAGTATGTTTTTCTAAACAATCTATTTTTGTCAGTAGGCTAAGATTTTTCATTCCTCTCTAATAACCTCTTGATCACAACGAAGATGTGAAGTATTTCTATTTTACAGAACTTTAAAATGGCTAATTTTTTGTTAAGGTTTTGCAATCTGTTTGTATACATATGTTTAGATTTGTTTCCATTTCTTTCAGCTTATATTTGTAATCATGAATATAAAGAATTGTATTGAAAATAATAAATTGAAAATTATTGTATGAAAATAAGAATTTTGTTGACTGAATCTGTTCTAATTGGTTTCATTCTAGGATTTATTTATTATATGCCTATGCAACCAGGTTTTGCAGATTACGAAGTAAATATAGGCTGATTTTCTGAATTTGATAGTGAACAGATGTCCACTGAAGAAAGGTATCAGAATAAACCAAGAATGAGAAAGTAGCAAAATCTTCTTCCTCAGTAGTATGTGAAGAAAAGCTTGCAAGATTATTATTTATATGCACTTGTAAACTTGTTTAATAACATTTTATCTGATGAAGTACTTCTGTGAGACAAACAGCCAAAACAGTGTATTTAAGCCAGCATGTGTTCAGCAGCTACTGGAAAAGAGCACCTTCTTTTGAGGCCCAATCCCTTGTTCCTTATGCTAACTGTTACTGATTGAAGTGGCTGTGCAATGAACTGTATGTCTGAGCTGATCTGGATAAAAAAAACCCTTTTTTTCATTAATCTGTTGTCTAGCATGCAATGGGTGGCAAAGGATGGGGATGGAACAGAGTTTGATCAAATTAAACAAAGCACAAAGCCAAACCTGACTCAGCAAACCGGGAGGGAGATTACTTTTTCAGCAGGATGTGTTCCCTGATGCAATTTATAGCTCAGGTATGTAAATGAGGGAGACAGTGAGTCACAGCATCTGGGAAGAAGAATGGTGGGACCATGTTAGTGACAGGCCAGATTTATGTCAGATTAAAATGATTACACAGCTGCTCCCTAAGAAGAGCATGCATAGGGAAAGCAGGTTAGAAAAGCACACAGTGTACAACAGCTTATTGAAAAGCAGCTACACAACCAGAAAACATCTATCTTTCTGAGAATTTCATGCACAGGGTTCCCTGGCTGTGGAATTTACTATATATTCACATTTGCTCAGCAGAAGTATGAACTGGAAGATGTAAGGATTATATTTAAATATTTTACATTGCAAAGCTGGCATTCAGAAGTTGAGTGGAATGCGACAGCAGTGCATGGCACCAAAGTCCTGCCAGCAACCTGGCTGAAAGTTGAACTTGAAAGATTTTCCTTGTCTTGCTTTCAAGYAGCTGGTTGTTATCCTGAACCTTGATACTGAAAATGTAACACTGTTAACTATTTCCTCACTTTTATTTCAGCAGAATTATTTCCTCACTTTTATTTCAGCAGAATTATTTCCATGGCACCTCATGCTTCCATTAAATGGTTGTCATTTACCATAAATCATGGCTTGCTGTAATATTATGGCTTTATAATCATTATTAGTCACAATTAGGCAAAGTGTGATATGTTGTTCTTATGTTGAAATGTAAATAACCTCTGATCACATTGACATATGGAGAGAATAATGGTGTGTGTATACAAGAGCAAAAGGACAAATTAGAGCTGTATTATAAGTGTGCTGTCTTCATTGCTAGTTTTTTGCTGTGTACAGACAGGACTGAGTCATGGGAATGAATGAAGGTGATGAGACAATTCTGTTTTATTTGTACCTTTGCCATGAACATTTTAAATGACCTTGGGCAACTCATAAGGTGGTGAAGATGGATTGTGCTTCAGCTTCGATGAAACTTCTGAGTGTACTCAGTCTCACAGGATGCTGAATCAGAAGAATGTAAGTGTCTTAGAGGATAAAAAATCCATCTAGGATAGTACTTGGAGGTCCAGAATGGATGTCTGGAATAAAGTAGGCAAGAAGTCTATGGCTCAGTAACTTCTCAAGGCAGAGGTGGCTTCTGTGTATTTACTAACCCTCTCATTGTTTCTCTTCTTTAAGCCTGCTAAGAGCTCCTCTTGAGCCCATGTCAATTTCCATCATTTGCAGCATCTGTGGCAAGGTGCCCCACAGCTAAGCTATCAAAATGAATAATCATTTTTGCAAACAAAATCCTTTTGCTTTCAGTGAACTTTTCACCTACCAGCCTTCCCTGGTGTTTCATAGTTCTTCTGTTGGGAGAGATGGTGAGTTGGTGTCTAATGTTCATGCTGTGCTCTGTAGAACACTGCACCCATTCAGACCTGAGACTGCTTACATTGAATGCCTGTTGGCTAAAACAGATGTCAGAATTCTTGCAGGAGAGACACTGGAGCACCTTCAGGGAAGGACCCTGGATTGTCTTTTCTGTATGACTGGGAGGAGAGATGGAATAACCTGTTCATACTGCAAATGGGTGCAGTGAATAGTTTCATGTTGTTAGATGTACCTGAGGGTCTGTCCAAAGACAACCGTGTTGGTACTCCTGCAGACAAGCAGTGCAGAGAATTCACCATCTGCAATACAGGCTACGYTAGGCAATGTAGACACCATTGAAGGAATATTCTCATTTTGCTTCAAAGTCAGTTTTATTGCTCTGACCTTGGCTGGTTTGCTAAACTAGTTTGATTATCTACCATACAAAAAAAGTGGGCTCTTCCCTCCTGTCTTTAACTAAAACTGTTCTGGAAAGTTCAATGTGGTTTTCTCTATAAGCACTGGGATGCTTTTTTAAGCCAATACCTGATAAATTTCTTCTTGGAAAATTTCTACATTCTGAACTCATGGCCTTGGCAGAAACTTTGACTTTCTCACTCTGATGTTCTTCTTGACAAGACTCTCTCCTGATGTTTAACAAATACCAACCAGTGGAGCTTACAAGGTCTGAGAAATCAATCAGATCGTACTGTTGTCACTAGGTGGATGTGATAAATCCATAATAAAGTAAATTCATATCCATAGCTCCTGAGCCTTCCAGGATGTTTCGTTTGGCCTCAAACTTGTCTGTTAAAATATCTTTGCTCCTTCTATCTCATTTGCAGTGTACCTTTTCCTTGCATCTTCATAGTTTTAAATGCAGCTTCAGAAATGGCCTTAATCCTGTGTTAAAAAGCTTATTTGGAGTTTAGCAAGAAATCTCATTATTTTAAACTTTGAATGGAACGGAATCTATTTCTGGAGATTTAGGAAAACCTCTGGATATCTACTAGAATCCCACAACACATTCCCCTTTCCTTGCACAATCTCTGGTTGTAGGTCAGGTACTGAACTAGGCCAAGCATGTACAAACCTCAGTTAATTTAATCGGATTCACTAGGAATTTGAATATTTTTAGTCAAGATTGTTATAGTTTTTTATTTCTCTAACAAAGTAAAGGTGAATGTGTCATTTCCAAAAAAATGTTGTTTTTAAGGTTTTGAGTTGCACTAACTCACAACCACCTTGTGCTGAAAGTCAGAGCCRGACAATGGCACTGGTGATGAGACAGAAATCCAGGCATTGTCACAGTGCATCCCAGTTAGACCAGTTTTCACAGCTGAGAAGGAAATCACACAATACATCATCCAGATAATAAAAACTTTCCACACAGCTGTGTATCCAACTATAAATAACAGCAACAACTGCCTYAATCTTTCTAGAAGTTCTTCAATATTGTCAGCCATGTGACATTTCTTCTTTTGATGTATAAAGTAAAACCGGTGTTCATCTTGAAACTGGAAGGATAAGTCACCCCTACTGAGAGGAACATGATACCTGAATGTCTTAAAGCCATTTGCTAAGGCAAGAATTAATTATAAGCCCAGAGAGAGCTGTCCAATTTTCTTACAGTAGCAAGCAATTGAGTCAGGATGTAAGTCTGGTTCCCTGACCTGCAGCCACTTATCTCTGAACAGCAGCTTTGGGCTTTTAAAGTTAGGGTTTAAAATTCTGCCAAGATCCATTACATCCTCATGTAATCCTTCGTTGCAAATCCTTTCCAGGGCAGAGGTAATTTTGGGGAGTCCCCTGGAGTTACGAGATTTCTTTGTATGTGGAAATAGCATCCATGTACTGTCCTGTGATGGAACTGCAGTAGGCCCCATGACTAGTGAAGAACCATCGTGTGTACAGAGGGCAAAAAGCTGTTTCTTCCCTTTCCTTTGGCAGGAAGAAATACTTTATCAGCTGTGGTGGGAAATCTTGGATGGTCTATCAAAATGTAATGGTCTATCTATCATCTAATTCCAACCTTCCCTCCTTTCTWTAGGGACACCATCCACTAAACCAGGTGGCTCAAAGCCCTATCCAGCCTGGCCTTGAGCACTTCCAGGGATGCAGCATCCACAGCTTCTCTGAGCAACCTGCTCCACTGCCTCCCATCCCCACATACCTAATCTAAACCTGCCCTCTTTCACTTTAGAACCATTCTCCCTTGTCTTATGAAACAATGGGTGTGTTTTGAGTTGTTGCATGAAAACACCCTGAAATGCGAGACAAAAAATCATTCTCAGAGTGATARCAGCTAAAATTTTTCCATTCTGAAGCTCAACAGGGAGTGTGAGAGTGGCAAAAGGGAACTGTGCCCCTCTCCTCCCGTTTGTCACAGGCGGTGACAGCCGAAGCCGACGTGATCGGAAAGATGTGGATGGACTACAACCGTATTTAGGATCTTTGCAAGAAAAAAACAACGTTTATTGAACGTAAAACGGATCAATACCGGAGACACCGGGCGGAGTCGTTCACGGCCGGCCCACCCCGGCGCCGGGCGGGCATCACGGCGGGGGCGGGGCCGCGCGAGGCGCTTCCTGCCCCGCCCCGCCCCGCGTCCTCGGGAGCGGCGCGTGCGCTCTGGCAGGGGCACCCGAGGGCGAAGGGGTTCGGCCATGGCGGCCTCCATGATCTGCAGCCGGGTGTCGGCCGGGCTGAGGGGTAGCGGTCTCCGCGCCTCGCTGGGTTCTGCTGCGGGGAAGGTAGCGACCGCTCGGGAGCGGGGGCAGGCTGGGTTGGGGCTGAGGCACGGCCGGGCCGGCTGGGGTCGCGGTCGCTCCCTGCGGAGTGCTGGCGAGAGGAGCGTCCGTCATCCCACTCCCTCCGCCGTCATGCCCTGCCCTGTGGTGGGGCTGGCAGCTCTGTGCTCACCTTTGGCCTACGGCCCCCGCAGCTGCTGTTCTTGCTTGTGACAAGTCTTCCCGGCGTGGTTCCCTTTCCCCTCCTTTTCAGCTCTCTCCTCCCCTGTCTTGCTTGGAAATCCCAGTGTTTCCATCTCCGCCGTCACCTTGCTCCTAGGAGGGGTCGGGCTGTGCCAGTTAAATTCTTCTTCCAGCTCGCACCTCGCCAGCCTCAACCCTTGCTTCCTGTGAATGCCATTCGGGGGTGCGGACTTGTTTTTGGCTGCGCAGCCCTGTGAAGCGGTGACACGAAGACGCTCGGGAGGCTGCAGTGTGTGACACGGTGTGTGACGCTCGCTGCGACTTTCTCCTTCTGCCGCGTACCGGGAAAGGTCGCGGTGAGTGCCCCTCTCGTGTTACACGCAGCCTCCCGTGGCCGACCGGTCACTCAGCGCCTCTCCCCTTGGGGTCGTGCCAAGGAAAGGGCCTCCTGCTTGGAGAAGGAATCCTTTGGAGGCTGCATAGGCCCTGTCGATTTGCTAGCTTGGAATGCTGTAGTAAAGCTCACGTGTCGTCTGCTTGCTTCCTTTATTTGAAGTGAAATGAAACCTTAAAGATACAGCTTGTTCAAAACTTCCTAATACAGGGTGATTTTTGCAGTACTTGTGTCAATGGTACATACAAAACAAACTTTAATTTATTTTTTTAGTATCTATGTTTCTTTTGTCGTTATATTCACCATTAATCTTTTGATGCTCGTCTATGTTAATRGATTAGCTAAATTCAGTAGGTTTTCTGTTTTGTGTGTATATAAAAATAAGGTCTTGTTTGCATATAGTGAAATACAAAAAATGCAGCAAATATTTTTGTTTTCCAGTTGTTAATTTTTGTGTTACAGAATGCTTACAAAATTCATTGAGTTTCTTTTCCTTACAGATATTTTGTCAAAGTTCTTAAATGCTAACTAGGGATTTAACTGACGGGATTTTTAACCCTGCCAGTCCTTGTCAGTGCTAGCAGCTTCACCAGCTCTTTGCCCCTGCCCAATAAAACCTCACAAAATCAAATACCAAACCTGATATGAATGACTGATGTGGAAGAGTAGGATTAAGTGTTCAGGTGTTGGCATTGGTACGCTAAAGTATACTTGTTTAATATGTAGGCTTCTTTTAACCTAAACAAAGAGGGCAGTTTTTCACAACAGTCATTTTCTTTTTTTTTCCTTTTTATTCTTCAGGTACTTGCTGGAAGTCCAGGAATACTCAATAAGCATGGGTTCCAGGTGCAACAACAGCAACAGAGGAGGCTATCACTCCATGAATACCTGAGCATGGGACTGTTGAAGGAGGCTGGCATTTCTGTTCCACATGGAGTGGTTGCCAATACGCCAGATGAAGCTTACAAAATAGCAAAAGAAATAGGTATATTAAAAAGAACATAKGCAAATAGGCATGGGATTGATACAAGATGTAGCTGTTTTTTCTGTCTTTCTTGGTAAGACATTGCTTGGAATTCTGAATATACCTCCTTTTTAAGAGAGCATTCTCTGTGAAGCAACTTTCTTGTTAAGAAGGAATAGTCAGGTATAAATTAGGTCAGGTATAATTAGGTCAGTATAAATTAGTCAGGTATTTGCTTAGACTAATTTAACTACTTAAACTTCTTTGAGATGAGTAATACTCTACTCTGTGCAAATCCTGGATTTCTCTCTACTTATGGCAAAGTTAGAGGTAGTCTCATGTGAAGAGCTCCAGTGGTGGTGTCAGGATCTCATGTAGACAGAAGATGCAGAACATACTTTAGGCTACAAAAGATGAGTAAAATCCTTTTCTTTGTGAGTGTGCTTTTCTGGCAAAACACAGCTACTTCATGCAGGAGGGGAGTTTTTTGATAGCTTGTAGTTATATGCAGAATTCCTGGCTTTTTGATGAAAAAGTATCCTATCTCATTTGCCTGATGTTTAAATACTTGATTTAGRATTGAGATTTAAATTTGTGCTTGACTGCCAATTGACCTCTATACCTATTATCTGTCCTAGTAAATTTTTTTGGTGTTACTTGGATTTAATATGGATGTCAGCTTCTATTGTGTAAGGCATTAATAGGTGGGGTTTTTTGATTGGTTGGTTAATTTGTTTGAGGTTTTTTCTTAGTTTAAAGTTTAGGATTTTTTTTTTCTTCCCTGGAAAAACATAGCAGGCTTGTCACACAGTTTTGGTGAACGACACTGGTTGTTGTATTCCTCTCTTCTATGCAAATAYTCAAATCTCTATTCACTTCCAGATGGATACATTTGTAGTCCTTCCTGAAGTTATAGGTTTTGTTGGATTCATTTCAGTTTCATGTATAGATTTAATGTGAGAAATGAGAGCTGAAAAGAAAAGATAATTTTTCATGTAGAGCAAGTTATGTTTCTTAGTAATGCAGAAAAGAATTGAAAAGCTGYTTTTCCTTCAGACATGATGTCCCAGAAATTCAGGTGTTGTTTGCCTACCCTCTTTATCTTGTTTCTGTTAGAGACTATATGATACAAAATTATAATAATTTCATTAATGTGAAAGGGAATTGCTGAAGTACTTCTGAGAATGGTGGAAATTTCACAACCTTCCTTTCTGTTAAGGGCAAGCTTGTAGCATGATTAAAACTTCCCAAATCAGGCCTCTTTGCTCTGCTTTAATATCTGCACAGATATTGCTGGAGGAAAATGAAAGAACCTTTGTCTATGGCTCTTTAATCAATAACTTGGAAACCTGTAGGTCAGGGTTCGCTTGTTTCGTTCTTGTTCTGAGAGGGCTCCTGCAGCAGTGTGGGTATGTTTGGCTGCTGGTTTATAGCTCCGTGTCATCCCCTTGACGTCATAGGTATGCCTCTCATCTGTATGGGAGTATGGGATTCTGGGTAATTTCTTGGGGATCTGAAGACTGTTGATCTAAAGTTGTGAAGTGTATGAGTTGGCATCCTTTAGTGAAGGAATTCAGGGCTTCTGGTTGTCAGCCAAATACTTTGTTGAAGTTAGTGTGTGTTCAATGCTATTGGCCTTCTTTGGTACTTGAGATGAGGAAGGGAAAATTTCCCAAAATGACAACACACGCTGAAGGAGCTTGAGCTTTTGAGGCATTGCTCAACTATGTTCAGAGCTCATTCTGAGTGGTGACATTATTCTTTGCTCCAGTGTTTTGGATTTCTTTTTTTTTGTAGGCATTTACCTGTTAGTATTCATTTAGTACTTAAAAAAAATCAAAACACAAACCAAACAAATCTATCAGAATGAAAAAATTCTCATTTTTGGACCACATGCTCATTGTTTTTTTTTTGTTGTATAGGAGGAGTTGCCAGTAGGTATGAAATTATTTTTTGTTTCTTTTTATATGTGAAACTGTTTTATCCAATGCTTACAATGACAGTTGGTAATACTCTTTGCTCAGTTTCCCTAGTGCTGATCCACATGTTCCTGGTAAATTTTCACAGCAGATTACTGACTAAAGGTTGAGTTTGGCATTGTATTTCTTCCCTTTTGCAAATACTTCACTTGGAAATGGGTAACTTTTTATCGCAATTTACATCAAATGTAAACTTCTCATTAACAGAGATGATCATAGTTTAGCTGTGSCTGTAGCTAAATCAGTGTTACGTGAGCATCTTGCTTAAATTTTGAAAAAATTGAGCTGATTAAATTCTGTTCCATAGTGTTGATAAGAGAGTTGATTGCCTTCAAGTTTATGGTTTGCTCTTAGCTGTGTGTGCCAGTGCTGATTGAGAAGCTGATATGTTTTGTATCAAGGACATGACTAATGAACCTGAAGACTATTTAGTGAACAGATACTTGATCAGTGTGATAGCAGATAGCTCAGCAGAACACACTATTTGAAATGAAGAACATTGCTGTTTGTTATTATACACTTCCATAGGTGCTGTGTATTGTTGAAACTCAAGTTTTGATGCTTCCTAACACCTTCCTCTGGTAACAGGTGTGTGCAAAGCAGTCATGTATTGTATACTTGTAGCAAAGTGTGGGGTTTTTTAATAGCGTATATATCTATTCGTGATGATTTGAGAATAAAACTTTTTAAGACATTAATATCTTCAAGCAGCTTTTGTGTTCTGGTGGTTTTGTTGGGTTTTGAGGTTGTGAATCCTGCAGCTTTATGTACATGGCAGACTGTCAGATTTTAGTGAATATAAAGCTGTACAAAATAGGAGGTGCTGAGAGACTGAGTGCAAAGCATTTCACTTTTCTACATCAGAGTTCTTGAAAGGAGACTGAAAGCTCATGAAATCAAGTCTGCTACTTTTGCTGTTGCGGTTTAAGAGGTCTAGTGCAGCTTCATGTCKGTGTGGTTTCTAAAGAGTGTTTTGGTTATGTTTTCTGCAGAATAACTGCAGTAATTGGTTTGGCTGTATTCCTGTTGACAGTTCTGTGATTAATRGATGGTTTTTTCAGGCCTTTTAAATGGTTTTCAATGTGACTAAAACCTTTTAAGTACTTTTCAGTATTATTTATTTTTCCATCTGATACTTAAACATACAACCTGTATCTGTTAAAAAGAAAACTTTTAAAAAATAATGTATAAACCTGGGTACATTTATAAGTAGAAGTTTTGATTTCAGGCCTTATTTAATCAGAAATCAGAGTTTAGTACAATATGTGCAATTATTTTCTTAGGTTAAGTGCTGTTTTTTCTTTATTAGCTCTTCAAAAGAGGTATTCCAGACACTGTGGCAAAAAGCTGGGATGATTTTTTCCTTAGTGTGTGCCACACCCTCCTTAGCTGTCTGATTTAAGATTTTAGGGTTTTCTATTCTGTGTCATAGTGAAAACTCATGTTTGTCATACTTCGGTTTGCAGCATTTTTTTGGTGGTTTTGCCATTATCAGTTTTCTTTGTTGGTCAATTATCAGCCTATGTTACCTGATGTATTTTAGGTTGTCTGACACTCCAGAGCCTTTATTCAGTTGCTCTAGGACATGGATGGTGATCTAAGGCGTCAAACTTAAGCAGAAATCCCACAGGTGGTAAAAAAATCATGCAGTTATGTTCCTACTTACCTGGTCAAAATATCTAGGTAATCAGCATAGTTTTGGAACCAAACATTTACTTACATTCTGGCAAATTTTTGTTTTTTTGGCATCTTAATCTTTTATTTTGCTTCAGCCTTCACTTTCTTCTGTAGCACTTAATTCCTTTGAAATTAAAATATCAAAACATATTCTTGATGGTAATTCATTAATTAAAATAAACTTGTCTAACCAGCACATTCAGATTTTGACCTCTGTATTTTAATTGCTTGACTTAAGCTGTTGCCAAAACCACACCTATCTTGTGAGCTGATGATGAACTTGATGAAGTTGATTAATATCAGCATATACTTGTGTACAGAATACTTTATTATAGCAAAAAGTCTTATTCAGTCCCCTAACTGGTATGTCCTTTCAGTGAAGGTATGATGATTTCTGGCAAACAATTATTTCAGTAATTGTACTTTTGATTTGCATGCAATAAGTCTTCTAACACTAAAAAGCTTCAAATGCTGAGAAATGTAATTTTGAAATTAAAATTTCTGGTCACTATACTTAGTAATGAAATGCAGACAGTGTACTCTGAAGAGATTCTCTGTTCTGTTGACAGAATTAGGGTCAGCATAYTATTTATGTTGACATCTCTGTCGTTAGTTACAAACCCATGTTTTCCTAATGCCAGTAAATACACCTATATTGTTTAAACTTAGTTTTTATTGTATCCATGCAACAAGAAGAAATTAGCTTATCTTATAAACGGTGGCTACTTTTTCTGGTACAAGAAATACGGACTGAGGCAAAAGTTACAAGTCCCTGTCTCTCCCAGGATAAGTTTGCAATTGAATGCTAGTTGAAAACTTGATTGACACTTGTGTTGCTAACCTGTCACTGCCTTTTACTGTTGTCTGTCTTGTCAGAATAGATTAGGCTTACATGGCTGTTCTGAAGGTGTCTATAATATGTGGAAAGCAGTACTCCTGCTACAGTTAGTATTGGGCAGAGAAATGGAAATTAATGTGATWTGACAAAAGTCAGAATGGAAACTTGTAAAGCAGAGCATTTTACTGAGGCTTATCTGCTGTAAGCATTGGACTTTCCACTTGCGCAGGAAACTTCAGAGATACAGTGGAACAGTGACCCTTCTTGCCTCTTAATAATCTTATTAGGAGATTGTGTTTTACATGGATGTCTTTCTGCTTGCCTGCATGCGTTGATCTTTCTCCCAGTTTGAAAGCTTAGGTTATAGAATCAGAAATTATTCCTTCCAGTAAATAAATATTAGTGTTGATAGAAGTGAAGATTGTTTTGTTTACTGACTGTATAACTCTTTCTCTGTTTAGTAATAAATGATTGGTAAAGGTGAAACATGTAGTTATTAGTGTATAGATTTTTGTTGTCCTGTTTTTGTAAGTCAGTATTCTGATTTCAGACACCTGTTCTCTCTGGGATATCTACTTTTAATTTTCCAAGCATTTCCTGACTTTTTCAGGCTATTTTACTTACATGTGCTTTTAGGGCTGACTGCCATTAACATTGAAATGTGATGTGTACCAAATGCTTGTTCTGAGATCTGTTCACTGGCCTGTAGCTTGCTTGCCCAGTAGCTCTGCTGGTGTTCTAGTGCCCTGTGTTAAGGCTTTACAGTTTGTTGCTACTGCTGAAAGCTGAAGTCCTGCTCACTGAAATTCCTGTGTGCATGTGTTTGTCTCATGGTGCAAGAGTCTGCAGAAGCACTGTCTGCTGGATGAGCTTTTGGCTTCATGGAATCACTGTTCTGATATGCTTCAAGGCATGATAATGCAAATGCTTCTACTGGCACAAGAAATCAGGCTGGAGTGGAAAGCTGAAGGTTGGAGGCAGGATGGGACTTCTGTAGTGGTGTCTTTGCTGGCATAAACTTTGTGTGGGTATGTACTCTAGGCAGATGCGTCTATTTTTCATTGCAGCACAAGCCTTGCAGTCTTTCAAAGCCATGTAAGCAAAAAAAAAAAAAAAAAAAACAAGGGCACAGCTGTTGATACTGAGTAGAAGACTATGGTAGCTGCTGGTTTACAATTTTTTTTTCTTGGGTTACTATCAGCAGTTCTTTGTTGTTTCAGATTGTATGACACTGCTGAAACTGGAACTATGCAGATATGGTGTGTGACCAAACACTTCTGTCCTGCAGTTTTAGAGCAATTTTAGATAGGAGCTATGGGAAAAAATGTTTATTGAACAATAAACTTCCTGCATGATGGGTCAACTTATGGTTTTCTTGGGACATACTGTCTTAAATTTTGTTTCAAGTATGTCTGTGCAGCTTGATTGCTTGTAAGCATAGCTGGTGAAATAAACCTTGAACTTGCTTATGCAATCAAGCAGCTAGTTTGCCATGCTAGAGGAAAACAATTTACAGATAATTAGTAATCTGTTCATTTAATGAGTCAGTTGTTGCATAAGGGTTAGTCCAATGATATTATGGCCAAAACTGATTATGAAAAATTAAAAGTTGTTTTYTTATGCTCTTTTGGATGTCTGTATGTTGACAAAATATAGTAATGCATAACATTTTCAAGAAATCTCTTCCAGGATCAGGGCTGTAGTGCATTTAGCCCACTAGTCTGCTTAAGAACAAAAGAACATACTATTTAGGTTAATTGTTAGCCTGCCTATTTTCTACATTACCCCTCATTTCCCTTCAGCATTCATATTTGTTGTCTTAAGAATATCAGAGAGAATATCTCTGCCCAGTTCCTTTTGGCTCTTTTTTTCTTTCTTCATCTCTCCTGGCAGGCTTCCTTATATTTTGTGTAAAGAAGGGTCTGTTTTTCTTGCACCTTTTTAAAACTGACTTCCCTTGGTAGATGGCATTTGGTCTTGGCTGGTGTATAGGAGAAACCAGAATGAGCGATGTACATGTAATTGTGTGTTCTTGCTCTGTCCATCACAGGTATGGCTGAAGACCGTAATGATGTTCTTGCTTTCTTTTCCGTTGATAGATTTAAGGGTGTGCTAGGGTAATTTCTTGTAAGGGAATGTGTTAATTGCAGTGGTCATCTTAGTAACCAATTTACTTTTATGCCCAGAGCTAAATATGATGTTCCAGCTGAGATCTTACCAGAGCTTTAGTTGGGTTCTTGTTTTGACTTGTTCAAATTCTGGTGTTTGTTGCTAGGAGGAATAATTGCTGCAAACAAGGTGCCTATGGGTGAACTTCATGGCTTTTCTGAAAAGTTCTCTGTAGTAGCAGCTTTTTATCTTCTTTCTTAGTGTAGGAGATGGAAAACAAGCTTTGTACTTGAAGTAATTGCTTAAGGGTTGTCTTGTGTGACTTCTATAAAGTCTATTAACTTGATTGCCTGTAAAAAATAATTATCTTCAGGAACCAAATGAAATATTAGAATTACAGACTGTAGTAGATCACCATATACTTGTGTGTTTATAATCTTGGTGCTTCTTATGCAAAAGAACTTTAAAATCATGTGTGAATTCAGAGGTCTGTTGTTAGGTAGACATTCAACAGGTAAAATCCGCAAATTGCTGATTGGGAGGAGTAACTTGATTGTTCTGTTTATTGCTACTCTAGCTTGTGATACTGTTCAAGTTTGGTTTCACCTATCCACGCAGGACACAGGTCAAAGTAGGAATCAACATGACGTTACTGTCCATCATAACCTTCATTGGTATGTGTAGGTGGCTAGTTTTGCATGAGTGCTATAATTTTTCGTAGGCATTTCCATGGTTCCCTTTTAACAACCAAGGGAGCAGCAAGTTCTTTTTTTGCTTGGAAAGATCAGTGGCTCAGCTAATGGTGGCATGAGAAAAGAGGGGATGTGTTGAGCAAATGTGTGTGGGGCAATTCTTAACATCTTGCAGTCTAGCTGCTGTCTGTACTCTCTGTAAGTGAACTTGAATAATAACTGAACACTTCAGGTTTTCTCCCTTATCACCCTAAATTACTTGATGAACTCTTTTTCTTTGCTTTATTGTCTTTCAGTCACAAATCAAAATAGCCCTGTTAATTTTCATTATATTCTCATGCTTTACTTTTTAAACCCAAATGCCCAGTCTTCCCTACTTAGAAGAATTTTTGTAAAGGACTTTTAAACAGTTACTTTGCCTGCTCTGGGAAAAATAGTGTTTGTTTAGGCCTCTGACTTCTGCAATGCACTCAAGCTTATGCATTAGTGCTCTGCTGGATGGAAGCCAGAGTGGACCTGGCAAGCTGACTTGGGTGAGTGCTATAGTTACTGCTCTATCATTGCTGGGAAGATAGTGGTTACAGAAACAGGATATTTGAAGTTGTCTTGCATTATGGTGTGTCAGATACTCTGTTTCATCTTGTTAATTATCTGTGAGCTCTCAACTATTTCATACTGGGTGCTTAATAATCTGTGATTCCAACATGTGTTAAAGATGTATSAGAACACCAGCGTTTTTAGATACTGACTCACCAAGGTTTGTTCAGAGAGCAGCCTAAAGCTGCAATTTGTGGATTATTTGAGATTTTTTGAATAATCTGTGTGAGTTACTATATAGTTTTCGATTCACATGTTTGTGTTTTGAATGGTGGGCGTGGAGAAGGGGGGATAAAATTAAACCAACCTTTGTTATTTCACCTGTAGCAATTTGTTTTAGCAATCACAGATGACAAATTTTTGTGTTTTCTTTCATTCTAGGTTCAAAGGATCTTGTGGTAAAAGCGCAGGTTTTAGCTGGTGGTAGAGGAAAAGGAACATTTGAAGGTGGCCTCAAAGGAGGAGTCAAAATAGTTTTTTCGTAAGTTCTTTCTAAGTTATCCAACCAAATGGAAAAACTTCAACGTTTCACATTATGGATTGAACCTATTGCTTTCTTTAAAACCAGTGTTTTAATTATTAACCTTAAAATTACAAAAATTAGATAAGACTGTTTTAATGGTACTTCTGTTTTTATAGCAGTTTCTTGGTCACATTCTGAGCTTCTTTTATTCTAGTCCAGAAGAAGCAAAAGATATCTCCTCCCAAATGATTGGAAAGAAGTTGTTTACCAAGCAGACAGGAGAGAAGGGCAGGATATGCAATCAAGTATTTATCTGTGAGCGCAGATATCCCAGGAGAGAATACTATTTTGCAATAACAATGGAAAGGTCTTTTCAAGTGAGTAATATTAGATATAGAAGTCAGCTAATTAATTTGTTAGAACTGAATTTTTTTTAAAAAAATGAACAAAACTGTTTACTGTTCACTTGTTTTTGAAAATCAGAAGCATACAAGCTAATTTTTGTTTTCTAGTGTATCTGACTATAAGATTGCCTTTTTTTTAATGGTTTGTAAATGTAATGCTGCAGCTTAAATTTACAGAATAATAAATGAGTATTGGTAGCCTCAGCTGAAGTTCAATCACATGGGCAAAGGGGAGATGGATAGAATAAGGGAGTGATTTCCATTTTGGCTTTAATTTGCATTTGCCTACCAGATATGCAATTTAGTTTAAAAATACAGCTATGTGTGTGCATGTGAGCATGTACACTCTATTTTTGAGTGTCAGAAACAAGATAAATAAAAACATTGTGGAAGAGCAAATGGCCCTGCATAAATTGAACATCCTTTTTCTCCGATGTGTGAAGGTTCCTAGAAGTGTACTGGTGTGTCCCTTGATTTTGAAAGTACTGGTAGCTTTCTTATGCTAATACACTTCAGGAATGGGTAAGAAGATTTTGGCCTAGAGGTCTGTCTTCAGAGCTTTCAGGAAAATGAAAGCCAGTCTTCTCTGCATGTACGGACTGTATGTGTGGGTATGTAGTTTTTTAGGGTACAATTCGAATGTGGTTCCTGAAATGTGTCAGTGTTTTCTGACAGATGGGGATTCTATTTGGAACATAGAATGTGAATTGCTAAATAACTTTAATGAAGCCAGGGTAAAATAGATCTTGGAACTTTATTTTCTGAAGCTCAGAAAAACTGGGTTTGATCTGTTCATGTGCTTAGGAGTTTGCAGTGGTACTGGTTTTGGGAATTAGAGGAGTATCTTTGGCACAAAATAGTATTTTATGGAGTAATGAGAAACTATTTTTTTTTTGGTAGCAGTATTAGGAATTAAACAATGTATTTTTCCTTTTTCTTCCTTGCTAGTTTTTTTTTTATGAGAAAGTATCAGCTGTGTTGAATTATGTGACTTGGGCAGCTCCATTGTGATGTGTGCTGTAATAGAGAGGGAACAGTCTAATGTTACCATATGCACCACAAGGTGGCATTAAAGTGCTGTAAAGACTGAAAATTATGTAAGGAATAAGCAAGGATGCTTATGGAAATAAAATTTACTGTAACTGATTTAAGCAAATTAGATAAAGAAGGGAACCGTGTTTCATGACTTATTTTTGCTCTTTTATAAAAATAAATCTTATTTGCATAAATTGAGCTTACTGGTTGGGTTGTTGTCTATTGATAGGGTAGTGCTTTGTTTTTACTGCTGACTTTGTAAGTCATGTTTGTAGATGTGCTTGTAATTACTGTAACTTGTATAGGATGCTTAGGGTGAGGAAATGCCTTTCAAAAGAAGGAAGTGTGAAGTTTGAATAGCACACAGTGTTTATTCCTGATGTTGTTGCAAGCCGCTTCCTTTGAGGAGGGGAAGAATGACTAAAGTAGTCAGCTGAAACTGAAACTTTATGACTTGGATACTACTCACCAGCAGGGGTTTGTGTTTTAAGCAAAACTGTTCACTTTAGTCGATTCTATAGAACCATGAGTTATTTTATGATCAGTTTGTAGCTTACTGACAGTTCAAGATAAGAATATCCAGAAATGTTCATTGAGTTGAACCTTGCTGCTACATGCAGGATGATTTGCCAGCTATATATTTCCATTTGGAAGGATGGTAATGGGAGGGGAGTGGTGTGGTTATCAAGCATGTTTTCTGTACCAGGATCACGTTTTCTATAATTAGTTGTCAACAGTTATAAGTCTGTTTAATCTTTAGAATTCTGTTGATAGGAAGTGCTGCAATAGTACACCCATGGTCATAATCCATGCATGCGTGGTGGTAAGGGAAGATTGATTGAGGAGATCATGTCTTTACTGTGGACTGGAGGAGAGATTTTTATGTTCCATAGTAGTGAGTCCTTGCTGTTTTTGTTGAGATTTAGACAGCTTTTTTTTAAATAAAAAACAACCTCAGCTGCAAATGCTATCCATTCTGATTTCTTATTTTCTTTTATTAAGGAATAATTGAGTGCTGTTTTGTTTTGCTATGACTTACTTTCTGTGAAGGCTGTAGTTCGTGCATGTTGTGATCCTACTGAATGGGTATGGTTTGCAGTAATTTATCAGTAAGTTCTGCAGACCTCCATTTGTCCTTGGAGAAACTAATAAATAAATTATTTGATTTTTTGTAGGATAAATAGAGAAGGTGGAGGTGAGAAGGTGATTCTTTTTCTAATGACAACCTAAAAAATAAAATTTGTGGGATTATGAAGTTGAATCTTTCTATCAGAGTTAAAAACTAGTATGTCTGTGTTAATTGCTTTGCTGCTGCTTTGTAAAGGAAACTTTTCTTTGTTAAGAGTGGGCCTAACAAACCCCTTAATATTTGGAAAGTATTATTAAAAGATTTTGTATGGATGTATTGAGTAGATAATAGCACTCTCTTCAGAGCGTACAGGAAAAATGCCCAAATTAAAAAAAAAAAATCCAACAAAAAAGGTTTTATTGCTGTGAAGTATCTTGTGGGAAGAACAAGTTTCAATAGTATTGTATAAAATTACTTACACTTGTTTTCTTCCGTTTTTTTTCTAGGGTCCTGTGCTGATAGGCAGCTCTCAGGGGGGTGTTAATATTGAAGATGTTGCTGCAGAGAATCCTGAGGCAATAATTAAGGAACCCATTGATATAGTAGAAGGCATAAAGAAGGAGCAAGCTGTTAGGGTAATCATTAATGTGGGAAAGTACACATTACTGAGGATGGGAGGGTTGCTTCTACTTTTTGTAAAGAGTATGTGCATTCAACCTGTTGTCTTAAAACCTTGTTTGAAACAGGTTTTTACTAGATATTTAAATATTTTCAAGTAAGTCAAAGTAAATTCRATTGCATGGCAGTACTTAATCTGTCTTTTATACAGCTGTGTAAAGGCATATCGTGATACACTTTTATTAGCTCTTTTTTAGGATAAGTGCAGTGTTCTGTATTGAAAACAATCTGTTCAAGCCTAAGAGTTACTTTTTTTCCTCCCAGGTAGACAGGGCAGTTCTACATCTACAAATTCAATTGACTCTGAAATAATAGCTGAATTGAGGCACCCCTAACAAGAGCTAACCAATAACCATTCTTTTACTTTCAGCTTGCCCAGAAAATGGGATTTCCTCCTAATCTGGTGGATGAAGCAGCTGAAAATATGATCAAATTATATAATCTTTTTCTGAAATATGATGCTACCATGATAGAAATTAATCCTATGGTGGAAGATGCATCAGGAGTTGGTAATGTTTCATATTCATACTCTTCATGTAACATCTTAACATTTTTGTAGATCTTGGTTGCTTTGTGCTGCTAAAACTTCAGCTGTATACAGCAAGAGGAGTTAGTATTAACATGGTATATTGAAAAATGAATTTAGTAAAGCATATAAATTTGAGAATCTAAATATAGTAGAAATCTGCTCTTAATTGCTAAGTAGGGTCTTAAGTTTACGTAACTTGCTTTTTACTTTTAAATTTTTTTAATAAAGAGCACATCTACCCAGGATAAGGCATTCCTGGAAATCAGTTTTTTTCAAAATTCGTGAACTGAAACTTGAGTCATCTCATGTATCTAAAATTGGTACTGTAGAGGTAGCCAGAATAGTWGCACCTTCTAGAAATTTCCTGCCTTTACGACTCAGGCATTAGAATAACTGATAGAGTGTGATATATTAAAAAGCTGTTGGAGTTTAAGTAATATCTTGATGTTTATCAGGTTTTTAGTATATCCAATTGCAGAATAGTTATTTAATGTTCAATCACAGCCAATTCCCCTCTACATAAAAGAAGGCAGTAGAMAGTATTTGTACTTGAACTCAGATAAAACAGTTTGAAATTTAAACATGAATGTAATTCTTTCATCAAAGTGTGTAACTATTGTTACACTGTTAATGGGATGGTTTTTTTGTGKTTTTTTTTAATAGTGTTTAAACGATCAGTGTAGAACAGTCTCTCCCATCTGTTTCTTTTGTCTTGTCATTTTTATATCATTTGCACTGAGGGATAGGAATGAAGTGATACTTTTGTACAGACAGAAACTTAATTCTTATGTAAAGAATACTGTAGGTTTTCCCCTTGCTAAATCTGAGTTTACTTCCGTGTGTTTTTTCCTGACACTCATTCTTCCGACTCAGACACTTTTTCATGGTGTTTCTATGTACTTACATTCCTGCACACACATTATATATATTTATTCTAAAAGCAAAAACTAAGATGGATTGAAAAACCTCAAACCAGACACCTTCTGTAGGGAATGATTTTACATTAATTGCTTGTGGTGGTGTATCCCCCCTGCTCTTTTCCATGCTGCAGTGTAATGTGAGAAAGCATAATTTGCCCAGATTTATCAAACAACTTGTTGTAAGCACTTTTGGGTTTAGAGTTTCTCAATARATAGCTATCTTCCCTTTTTATGCATAACTGATTACATGGGGAAACTGGAAAGAACCTTGTATTTATTGGCAGTGCTAAGTGTATCTTTTTAGCAAAACTTTGTGTTTGGACTGCATTAATCTAGCTGCCAAGTTTGACTTAACATTCGTGTAGCAGTTAAGTTGTTATTCTAATAATAAATGATGGTTAGTAGTGGTGTTTTTTTTCTCTTTCAGTGATGTGTATGGATGCAAAGATAAACTTCGACAGCAATTCAGCCTATCGTCAGAAGAAGATCTTTGATATGCAAGATTGGACACAGGAAGACGAAAGAGACAAGGATGCTGCAAAAGCAGATCTCAACTATATAGGATTGGATGGAAACATAGGCTGCTTAGGTGTGTACTATTTAATGAATTTTGAATGATCTGATTGATTTATGAACTGAATTCCTAAATGTTATCTTTATTCTTATATAGTCAATGGTGCTGGTTTAGCTATGGCCACAATGGATATAATTAAACTTCACGGCGGAACTCCAGCAAACTTCCTTGATGTTGGTGGTGGTGCTACAGTGCAGCAAGTGACAGAAGCCTTTAAGCTTATTACCTCTGATAAAAAGGTGAGGGGAGAATTGGCATATCAAGGTCCTACACAGTGGTAAAACAGGCTGTGTTTTGGAAGACAACGCTTAGTGCATGTTCTCCAGAAAACATATTCTTATAAGCACAGAAGTAGAAAGATAGAAGATGGAAATCTTAGCTTAATCTTGGTGCAGATGAAGGAGGACTGAAAATCTATTGATTTTTTTTTTACCTTTTTAAATAGGTTTCTTGGCTGTGTGCTGAGTAGACAGTTTTGCGTCTTCTGGTTGAAGTTTCAGCTATAGTTGAATCTTTCCAGAAATCCTGGAATCAGAAACTCCCACTGTCTGCTGTTTGAACAGAAAGCAGTATTCAGATGGGTTTCCACTTTTTTTCTCCTTTTGGACCTGTTTTGCAGCTTGATCTGTGTTGTGCATAGAGTTGTAGATATGAATTTTTGCTATGCTGTGCGCAAACAGGTTTCTAAGATACTGATTGTATGTAATATAAGATAAAATAACTTTGTAAGAGGTTTGGAAGGACATTAATGTTTATCGTATTAAACGTTTATCAGGAATGCTTGAATAATATTAAAATAATAAATTGGTTGAAACTAGAGGAAGAGCTTTTCACAAAAGTAATGTGAGGACTGGGCTGAAGGTCTACATAAAAATGCTTATCCCAGTGGGAACTTGGCCATTTGAGACTTTTTAAAAACAAAAGAAAATTATTAAAAAAGGGATAACTGTAAAAGGTGGGGATGACTTCTGAGACCTGCTGATGGTATCCTATTTTTGCACCAGAATTTTGTGTACCTCTTTCTCGTCTTTGGAAAGGGCCAGAAACAAATAGTGAGTGATGTTCCAGAGGAGTTTAGTCTCTTTCTAATTGGAAAGACTTATGATCAAATGCAGGGTCTGTAACACCCTCCAAGAGTGTTGTAGAATCATTGAATCGGTCTCAAAGAATGAGACCTTTAAAATTGAAACCAGCCATAAATCTAACAATTCCCAGTCCTGCACTAAATCGTGTCCCTAGGCACCATGTCTACAAGTCTTTTCAATACCTTCAGGGTTGGTGACTCAACCACTTCCCTGAGCAGCCTGGGCCAATGATCGGCAACCCTTTTGGGGATGAATTTTTTTCCAATATCCAATCTTAAAACTGCCCTGGTACAACTTGAAGCCATTTCCTATTGCCTTACACTCGTTGCTTGGGCAGAGAGACTGAGCCCCACCTTGCTGTATCCTTTCAGGCAATTGCAGAGAGCAGTAAGATCCCCTCCTGAGCCTGCTTTTCTCCTGGCTGAACAACCCCAGCTCCATCAGCCCTTTCTCAAAAGATTTGTTCTTTCTTCACATTTTTAGAGCAAATTGAGGGAACAGAGAGGGACATAGCCACAGAGGACCTGAATTACAGAGGGAAGAAACAAGAATCTGAGGGTTGCTGATTTAAAACAAATTTTTGCAGTGCAGATTCTCTGCTGATGCACAGAGGGTGTCCAAACAGACTTCTTAATATAACTTTTCCTTTCTGCCTTCTTTCAATTGCTCACTGTTATATCAAAAAACAGTGACTGGCGATGGGAATAGTTCTGGTGCTGAAACATAAAGAGCAGTGCAGCCCACTGGTGTCATGGACTGTGCTCGGAGTTCAGTTCAGGGATTGTTTGAAATAGCCTTCTGGGGTGCCAGTCTAAGTTGCCCATTATCTGGAGCAAGAACAGTATCACACAGATGAGCTAGTCTAATTGCAAGGTAATGGGAGCCAAATTGCTGTTTATGAAGCAGTTGCACAGGAATGTTCTGTCAAGTTGTGCTAGGGCTGTCTACCCATTTTGTCTCTTGCTTTGTTTCATCTTTCACCTCTGACTGTGGTTCTTTTTACTCTTCCTTTCCGCCACTTGAGTAGGAAAAAGACTTCCCTTAACTTCCAGCTTAATCCTCCTGAATAAAATTGCAAGAGAAATATACATAAACGTATAAATATGTGAATAAAATGTATTTCACGTAGCTTAACTCTAAGCATGCTAGCTTTTAAATAAACCAGGTGAACAGCATCTTGTGTATGAGTTTTTAAATTTCCTGTGCCATTTAGCTTCTTCAGTACGTGGAGATACATGGTGTGGGGGGGTATCTCTGCTGGAATACTGTTAGAAATTGAAAGATAAATAGTTGACAAATTTAGTTTCTGTAAGTAACTGCTCTGCTGTATGTCACTTTGTAGAACTGTACTTTTGTTGCCGATGTTCTCTAGAACAGAAATGTTCTGTCTTTTGCAGAGTCCCGTAATAGACTTAAAGAGCTTGAATTATCCTTAGGCTGAAGGCTGTGTGCTGCTTTCATGTGATGTGCCTCTGGCCATTTTTAATGTGAATATTGTCATTAATTCTGTAGGTACTGGCTATTCTGGTAAATATTTTTGGCGGCATTATGAGATGCGATGTTATAGCACAAGGCATCGTTATGGCAGTAAAGGATTTGGACCTAAAAATCCCTATTGTGGTACGGTTGCAAGGTGAGTATTCTTCATATATATTGGAATATCTTTCTGGCTGATTGACAGGTGTTATTGAGCTTATGCATTGTGTAGCAAGTTGCCTGTGAGKTGAAGTCAACGGAGAAATAAAGCAAACATTGAATTTAGGTGGTGAGAATTGGTGAGTTAATAAAAAGAGACTTCCTGCTTTTTAACTACTAATGTTGTTTTCTAGATTTATTCACTAACTTCTGGAACACGCTTCCTAGAAACATGAGACTATTAGTAGTAGTAGTATAAGTAGTAGTAATACCCTCCTGTTCATTAAGAGTGGCATTTTATCTGTTTCTTAAGGTACACGAGTTGATGATGCCAAAGCTTTAATAACAGCTAGTGGCCTCAAAATCCTTGCATGTGATGACTTGGATGAAGCTGCAAAAATGGTAAGATAGCTGGTTATGAATATTCTTTTCAGAACATAGCATCTGTTGCAGAGTATTGAAAAGTCAAAACTCCATTCAGTCAACTAAAGGTAGCTTAGGATAAATTCCAGTGCCAGTTGTTACCCGTGTCTGAAACAAATATTTTACATGTTAATAACTACATAGTTGTCTGAAACAAATATTTTACACGTTAATAACAACATAGTTTGTCAGGGGAGCAGCTATGCAATCAGAAGCTATTAAACCCAAAAACCAAAATCAGATCAGTGATTAGGTCAGCCACTCCCCTTGGCAGGGGAATGGCTAAGAGCTTAACTTTATTAATTTCAAGCAAAATACAGTGTAATGCTTCCTTTTATAGACCACTGTATTACAGAGTGAATGATTTAAAACTATAGTTGATCATCATGTTGCCTCATAAGATAATTATGTACTCAGATGTTCAGATACACTGATTTGAGGGTGGATGTGTGTGTGTTGCTTTGCTTTGTTTGTGGAAAAGAAAGTTGTACTGGAATGTATAGCAAAAAATCAGAAGATATGGGATGGGTTTTGAGTCATGGGGAAACTTACAAATCTAAGAACCACTTACTCAGTTAGCATTTCATTCTAAGCAGGAAAGCATTCAGAGAGATTTAGAGTTGTTATGCAGGAGAAGATGAGGCTCCTTAAGGTATCAAAATAAGATCCAGAAATGCTTACAACAAAAACTGAGAGGAAATAGCTTCTAATTATATAGAATCTCTTGTGAGTGGCCACATGAACACTTCCCAAAAAAACAAGGTGACACATAAAATTTAAAACTTTTAGCATTTTATCAAGGTACTTAATTTAAAACAAGAAGCAGACTTTTTTTAACTCTCTGAGATATTTTCTAGAAGACTTGATTATCTTTCATTTATGAGTGATTGAGAAGTATGGAGCTAAATTATAATCCCACTCCTAATCCTCTCTAGTATATTATTGATGATTCCCTGGTATCACTTTGTTTAAAAAGATTGATCCAGCTCAGTCAAGTTAGGATTGTTTTCAAATTAAATCTTTATTTTCTGTTTTTCAGGTGGTGAAGCTGTCTGAAATAGTAAGCTTAGCAAAACAAGCTCAGGTGGATGTTAAATTTCAGCTGCCAATTTGATCTGGGAAATGTCATGCCAGTGTCTAACATGTTCTCTGAAATACTGTGTTCTGTGGGAAATTTTTAATTTTTCTTTTGTGTGGAGGTTATGATTGACAGGCGCAGAAACTGAAGCATCTGGTCTTCAATATTAACATTCAGAATGGTCAGAATTCTTGTAAAAGTGTGTATTGCTGAAATTTAGTCTTTCTTAGTTGTTATTCTCAAGCCTCCAGCTTCTGCTGCAGAATGTCACTTTCAATATACTTCTGCTTTGTCCAAAGTAAAGCTTCTGGTTGAAACACAATTATTCTGAACAAATTTTTAAGTTACTTTACTTGTAAATTTGTATTAGCCTTGTTTAAAAATAAATATGACTGGATTATCTAGTTGTCCATGTGGAGAAATGTATTGAAACGGTATTTTATGTTGGAGACATTTGTACTTACTTACATGAGCAAACCAATCATTATTTATGAACAGATGCATTTGAACGTGATCAGAAATATTTTTAGAGGTCCTTCACTGAGRTGGCTGGTAACTCTTCTGGACAACGTGTTAAATCACTACAAAATATACTGTAGCATTTAGATTTTCACAATTTCTGGTCCTCACGAAAAAAGCATTGTGTAGTTTTATATACAAACAAGCATTTACCAAGCTTCAAAGAGACAGGATAAATAGAGAATTAAAATGTCTATTGTACATCGCTAATAAAATTGTACATTAATAAAATATCTCCCAAAACTTCTAATGTCTTTTTTATATGTTACCTTTTTGATAAATTGCATAGAGTCAGGGATTAAGCCATAATTTAAGATAGCAAACTAAAACCTTTTTAGGAATAAGGTTATAGTGCCACAAACATTAATTTTTTTCTTCCCTGAAATGGACTGTGTGATTAAAACCATGTGAACTGTTGTTGAAAGGCATGGACATATATCATGCCTGAAACATCTTGCTAAAATGTAACTCATCTCTACACAAACAATTGTGCAGGAAATTGATGCTTTTTGGAGAAATACTTCTACTAACAAATAACCATTAATTTTTGTCATCTTACTTGATTTTCATATTACCTTGAACTTGGAACTTGGATAGTGACCCATTTACTGTTTAGTTTCTGAATCAGCACTCATTTTTTGTTCATATTTTGTAGGTTTTTTGTATAAAATATTATTTTCATGRTTAATGATAGTGTAGTTTTATCTGGAAATAATGAAACCACCTCTGTGGTGGTATTTCAGAATGGGAAATCATACAATTACAAGCTAACGACTTTAAAGGATTATGTGAAATGTGGGAAAGTCAATTATGGTTATGAAGAAACGGGGTATTAAATGAAAAAATATGCTAGGATAGTGTATTTCAGGGTTTTTTGTTTTTTTTTTTGCAGTAGTAAAGAAAATCAGGAATTAAACTCTCTCTGAATCTAAAGAGTATTATTTTTGATCTCAGTTGTTCTCTCACAAGTGAATACTGTGTGCTATTGATACAGCATGCTAAATTGGGCTTGTGGGTATGCTTGGAATTGCTTTTATTGAGCAGCCTTGAATTGCAGAGATAACTAGTTTGAATAAATCTGTTAAGCGTTGAATGATTTAGAGAATATAATTAATTTTTAGCCTGTGGGTTTGCTTCTACCTTTTTTTTTTTTTTTTAGTTTGAAATCTTTGTGAACTGCTAGTGTTAAACGGAAATGGTCTTTTGGTCTTTTCACACAAATCTGTAGTGTAATGGAGGCAAAACTAGATCCTGCTGTTGATCCAGAATTTGCTTATACACTATTTGAATTGTTAAATGTACTTGAGTAGGGGAGAGGGAGCCAAGGCAAAGCCATGTCCATCTTTGAGAGGAATGTAAAATACTGACATGCTCAGTAATGTATTTACAAGTAGCAGGCTTCTCAAAGCAACGTTTTGCCATTAAAGTATTTCTAAAGCCTGTAGAATTCCTTTAACAATGGTTGTAGAATGGGTGTGGGGTAGGATGATGGCAGCATAGAATTTCCTGACTGGGATGTTCAGAATGTACCAAGTCACTTCTAAGGCTAAAATAGTCTGTAGACTATAAGATAGTTGGTTAAAGTTATTTCAGCAAGGCTTTATAATCCAGACGCTACCTAATTTGACAAAACGGAATTTCCCTTTGGAATCGGTGGTGTGTGAAGGGCTGTGGATGCTGTTACTGACAGGATGGGAGACATGGGAGGAATGTGACCAGGATGGCACTGTTCCAAAGATGGGTCTAGAAACATGCTTTCTTGTTATTTCATGTGGTGAATGAACAGTATTAGTGATTGATTTGTGTTAAGTATCTTGAAACTAAACAGGCATATGGAGGTTGCTGTAATTAAGGTATAAGAGTGCTATGGGACCTTTTAATTGCGTGTATGTTTTTTGCTTAAATCAAAGCATGTTGCAACCAAGGAATGTTAACTCATTTGGACTGTAGTTGAAAATCTAAAGGCCCAAAGATGAAGTATCTGAATCTATTAAAGCTTGTAGACAACCCATATTGTATTGCAATATTAATAATCAAAAGGTGTGTAGGAATGGAGACTTGCTAAAATTAGTCTCTACAGCCAGAARCAAAATTCCTAACAGTGTAATCAAAACATGAAAAATGTGTAAACAACTTCTTAGAGATGAGAACTTCAAAGGAGCAGGAATTTTAATGACAATAGTTTATTAGTGTGACTTGCTGCCTTTTGATSCAGTTGTTACCAGTGCAGAGGTTTGTAACTGTTTTGAAATTCCATGAAAGCATATGACTTTTTGTAAGAGTAGTTTAACCACTACCAATTTTGAAATTCAGAAATTAGCTGCTCACATGTTCCATAGCAACCCCAAGTGTTGGACTCAGGGAGGGCACTTTGTGGCCAATGTGCTTGAAGACAACTCTGGTGAAAAGGGTCAAACTTACTTCTCAAATATTAAGTATTAAATTAATTCCTAAAATATTAAGTATAACATTTTAAAGTGTTATCTRCTCCACCAATTTCTCGTTAATGCATTAATCCACTTTTTACTGTGATACTTTGGTGAAGTAGTTGACTTTCATGGAAAAAAAGACAGTAGGATTTTAAGTAGTATTAGTATAGATACTGTTGGAGGATGTAGTCAAATTTGGTTAAAACAATTCTTATGCTAGATTCCAATGTTGAACAGTTGGAAAGAAAAGTATCAAAAATGAAGCTCTGGAGGAGTTGGGAATAAAGCTGTATTTCAAACTACTGTTGGGTCTAATGCATCTGATGAGGGGGAAGGCCTGTATATTAACACTTTGAAAAAAAAGCCTGCTGCCAGGAGGAAGAGTCCAATTTCATTGAAGTGAAACTGCTAAACTTCAAGGAGCTCACTAGCTTCTTACCATGTGCAATGAAAGAGTAACCCTAGATTAAATGGAGTCTTAATTGCAAGCKAAGAGTACACTACTGAAAAATAAAAATACCTAAATTCAAATGTCAAGCTGATACAAAGGAGAAAGTCGATATAGGATGTGCATGGAGCAGCAGCTCACCTTTGAGCTGTGCAAGGGCTGTAGACAGAACGTAGTGAATTGCTGCTATTTTGTAGTGAGGAACCTCTGCCTCAGTGTGCCAAGGCTTGCTTCTAAATCCTGGTTTCAGTCTGTGTGATTCACCTCTTTGCCAGAGGCTATCGCTGCAGCTGGTGTCTTCAATATATGCTGTATCCCAGTCGAGGGAAGCTGCAGTGTAAGAAAATGTCTGTACTGGCTGGTGTTTCCAGAAAGATGTATTGTTTTTATCTTGTAAGAGCAAATAGGGAAGATCAAAAGGTGCAGCTTGACCTCCCTAGTGAACAGAGGCTTGGGCCAAGAGGGAGGAGACATCAGCTGTCTCTTCTTCCCCGCAAGTTGCCTGTCAGTTAAAGTATCAAACACCTGAAGAAGAAAGAGAAGTAGATTCAATTTGAAGTCTGGCTGTTYCAGCCTGTCTGGATAGACGTTGGCAGCTTTGGTGCATTCTGACTGAAAAACTTAGTATGAACTCTAAATATCAGCATAATTCAGTTACTGTCATTCTGCATGACAGGGGCTGACTCATCTCCAGGGTCAGCTGAAATGTTCATATAGTAGGGGATGCCTCAGAAGGGTGTTACATCTGGATAAGTAGTGATGCCTCCCAAATACATTCTCCTGTTCAGCAGTGATTTGAGGTTTGGGGTATTGTTTATCAGAGACAGACACAAATGAGGCAAAAACAACTCAAAACTGGCAGTGGCTACACCCTGGAGTTTCTATTCTTGAGGTGAGTTTTAGCACATCAGACACATTTATTTTCATTTCTGGTGAATAGCTGAAACACCCTGGAAACCAAATTATATTTTTTAAAGACGATTGGGATAAGTAGCTTTGTAACATATGGTATGTCATAATTAAGCAAGTGTTCTAATGTAGTGAAAGATTTTCTTCATGTATGTGTTAAAGTGCAAGAACCAAATGAAGTGCCTCTCCACACAGTTTTATTGCTTCGTTTGTGACTTTTTCCCCTCTTCCATTTACAACTGAGCATTTCCATATGCAGGAAATGCTGAGGTGATCATGTTTTTTTCCCCATGAGAAACAGGGAACAGAGGAGTAAAGTTGCTCAGTTGTAATGGCTGTGAGGCCAGTAAAAAATTTTACTCACAAAAATAAGATCTAAAGGACAGAACTTGCTGAGAATTGATTTTTGACAAAGAGTTTTTGGGTTTATTTGTTTTTTACCTGATTCCACATGTCATGCATTGAAATACAAGGAACTCTGCAGCTGTCTAAGCGACAGAGCAAGTGTGTGAGCAAAAGATACGCAGCAGTGGGDATAGTTTTTCCCTGATCAAGACTTGTAGTCTGCTCTGTCTGCAGGGCAGGTTATTTCAGAACGGTGGTGTCTTTGGTTTCACAGGGAGTAGTTAGCTCTTTGGCTCTAGGAAAGCAGAAATTCAGAGTGCAGGAAGAGAGCCTGAGGCACTGTGTGTTAGACTTCCCAACATTTCTTTTAAATCAGTTTCCTTAGGAGAAGTTCACAGTGTTGATTTTTCGGTTTGTTTTGGATTTGTTGTTTGTTTAGATTTTTCCTCCCCTACTCTCACTTCCTTCTAGCTTTGWATCATGCTCTGGGCTTTAATGGTCTTGTTTGGTCTCCATCTGCAACCAAGTTCAAAAATGCTGAGGGGGGGGGGGGCCTTATCTATGTTCCTGTTTCCTGTAGTWTCTCGCCTGCTGTAGCTTCTGCTGCTGCCATTTCAAATCTTCACCAGTCTGTCTCTTTCTTTGCAACGGTGGCCAGTATCTGCCACACTTCAAGGGAAATGAGAAGGGATCTTAGTGAGTACAGTCTGAATAAAGGACTTCTCTGCAAATAATGTGGAATTACTGTGTGTATTTTCACTGTTGTTTTTATACTTCACACAGATTCCAAGTGTGAGAACATGCCAGTAGTTTCATTGTTTTATGTGTCTTTGTGTGTATATGCATGTGTCTATGCATATATATATATAAACATGCTGAGATTAATACATATGAATTTGTGAACAGTTTATCATTTTGCACTCTATGTCTGCTACAACTAACTTTGTTACCCAATTAAGTGCTCACAGAAGGTGTGGGCTGACAGAGCTGTTGGTAGCTTTGAGTGTGTTCAACACTTGGGAAGTTCTGCAGAGAGAATGGAGTTCTGTTCACTGGAAAGTAGCATCTTATGTAAAAGACAAAGCCAGATTTGGGGGTCCTCAGTCCCATGAGTTAGCAGTAAGAGAGCTCTTTCCTGTTCTTTTTGTACACTTTCAATCTTTCCTGAACGAGGCAACATCAAATCTTTTCACTAAAATGAGTTATACCAAGTATGGGGTGTGAACCGATTGCATGGCTTGGCTAGGTCTACCTGCTATGGCTGGGCAGGTGAGCAGCATTCATGGTCCTTGCAAAGTTGGCTGATGATGGGAAGCCTAAAGCTGCTTCCTGGCTGGCAACTCCAGKAGCAATTTTCAATATTTACTAGCTGCTCTCCCCATTTCTCTGAACTAATAATGTAACTTGTTCAGGAAAATAGCAAGTGTACTTCTAATGTTTTCCTTATATTCCCTTTAATTTACCATGGTCCCAAAGGTAAGTGAGCTGCAGTGTTGTCCTTTCAATAGAAGCAAGAGTAATAAGGAAAAAAAAAAAAAAAAAGAGCTAAATTAAAAAAAAAAAAAAAAAAAAAAAAAAAAAAGAGCTAAATTTAATGAAACATGCAACTGTGGGATACTGAATGGTGCCCTCATTACTGTCCCAAGAGTAATGTACCCTTTGCCCTCCTGATCTCCCTGGCATGACCTCAACCTGTTATTGTCATGATAGGTCTGTTGCAGTTTG